TCCTGAGATTCTGATAAGTACACAGGCCAAGCCAAATTAAATTGGTTATGCCGTTTTGCAAAGCTTGAGCTAACACAAGTACGGAAACATCATTAGTTGGCAGGGCTGACGTGAGGTTGCTGTGTGCCTAATAGGACTGGGTTGAATAAAAAGGCTCGGCAACAGGATGGAGACAGGTGAGGAACAAAAGTTTCGCACAAGTATTATAAAACAAGAAAAAAGCGCAAGCTCACATAAATACATAGAAAAAGTCATTTCGGATTGATAGGTCGTGAGCAATAAAAACGATGAACAGACGACAAACAAAAAATTTTATGACCCTTTCCATGACAGGTTATTTTGGATCCTTCTCTGACTTCATATTGCTTGTGCAATTAAATTATCAGAACGCACTCGGTCTGTGATACGCTGTGTCTTGAGTCAATTAGGGAACAGAGATAATTCTACAGACTTAATACGATAATATCTCGGTGGTCCTACCTACCGAATTGATGGATAACGCTCCCAAAGAAGCGCTTGTCATTATCAGAATTCATATGCCAGACGAAGCCAAAATTTTCATACACACGATCATGGCAGGATGATCTGACGAGGATCAAAAATTGTGAAAAAAAATATTTACTTAATATAAGATAATGCGACCAAATGCAAAAAAAAATAATAAACCCTGCAAGAGGCTTGTTAACGGATGGCCAATTATTGAATGTGTATAAAATACACTTAATTACTCCCTTTGTATAAGTTCTGACGAGTTTCCACTTTTTATCAGTTTCAGCAAAAATGTCTACAGCTTGGGGGCAATAATAAAGAATAGTTTAACTAGCAATTTGTGTGTGAACGCAGAAAATAGCTAGCTCTATCATTGCACTAAAGACTTCAATTTCATATGAAGGTGATTATGAAGAGAGGGTGTCTCATGGACTGCGTCATAGTAATATTTTTGCCAGATATCTCAGGAATATTAACCACTGGCGATATGCAAAAACTTATTTTCCTTGAAAGCTCATTAAGTGATCATAGTAATGACACCTAAGCAAGTTAATCGAAACCCAATTATTCTTCGTATCTACATAAGAATCTGGTTCAAATAAGTTTTAATGCGTAATGTGAACAGATGCGCAGAAAGAGTAAATAACTTGTTCACTCAGGTAGATTATCATGAAGTTGAGTAAAATGACTACCTCAGCGCCCAGCAGTCAGAACTGAATACATTCCAATTTAGTTTAAAAGTGCAATTAAGCAGATTACGTACCTATAAATAGCAATAAGAGAACTTTCCAAAAAAAAAATCTGACCATGCATTAAAAGGTATTAATTCGCACGCCATTGCCCCTGATATTTATGAAAGCTCTAAGTTTTGATAAAATTAATTTGGTTATCGGTCGTAACAGTGAGAAATACAGTAGTTCCGATATAAATGCCGGACAAGAATTTATAGCTCTTTTAGGCGCTAAATAACCTTAATTGCGCTTAATAAAGAAGTAAGAAAAATATAATAACCACCATGTTAATGGAAAATATTGATCTAACTTACTACTAGCCATCGTAATCCCTCAAGGATTAATCGCAGAAAAGTGAAAGTATTGATAGAAGACAGAGCATGAAATGTGTGAGATTAAAATCATAATTCGAAACGTCTGATGTGTTAAATTTTAACAATAAATACGATACATATGCTAGAATTAGTTTGGGATTAACGCAGACATAGAAACGAAGGTGTAATTTTAAAGAATATAGACATAAGGCGAAGAATAGTTCTCAATTATTAAAAGGGTCAAAGTATAAAACTTAGGCATTTGAAGGAGACAATATTTTAATATGAGATATCTCTAAACCCTACTTACGAGCCAATAATATTCCAAGCATCAGAATTCTCTTCTCTGGATTACGAGCGACATCCTAAGAGAAGATCAAAATACAACACTGAAATAATGGTGAAATCCTGGCGCTACAGTCCGATTAATCGAAAAGGCTAAGGTAAAAGATAAAATAAAATTCTATGGCCATGTATATGGTATATTCCACCTACATTTCATTCATCGACGGTTTTTTTTACATATAAAAGCTGTTGGATAAGCGAAATTTTCCAAATCAAAATTCATTTTTCCAATATTTTGTTTGAAATAAGGAGCTAAAAGTAAATAGACCAAGGGGGATTAAACATGTTTGAATGCCTTCTACATCATGGATGTCATATTGGTCAATGCGCTGTTTTCAGCAAAGCCAGCCCCACTTATTAAAATACATGGTAATGTCATAGGAGTTGGCTTCTTCCATAAACCATGACATATGGCTTTAATTTTTTCAGGTTTGCTTGAAAGAAAAAAAGGTCAAGAGGTTAGTGTATAGTGCCTATGAATAAGTCCCGTCAAAAATTTAGATTCTAAAAGCCATTAAACACAAACACTTATGCTATAGACAATAATAATAAATTGCAAGAAAACCTCGGGATAATTAGGATCGGAAAACATTAGTCAACGAGGTCATAAACATAGGCACATATAGTGAATAAGTCAATATGGAAGAAAACTGAAGGGCAAATAAAAATGTGGATCTGCCTAAAAGACAAGAAAACCAAAAAGTAAAAATGCTAAGTGTGATTGTAAGAAGGGAAACTAAGAGTTCTATAACTTTTACACGGATTAACAAAGCTAGGCATAGAAGTTAGAATTTCAAGTATTGTTGTGAGACTACCAGTAAATCAGTAATATGAGATGTATTAACTTGGACTGGTAGAAAAGAATTTTCCCACAATGATATGAGTTGAGCTGACGTTTCCATTGAATTTCACATAGTCTTGCTTTCCCAAAAGATGTTCTCATCCAGGGTGAACTGCAGTTTCGACCTCGCATCGGTCTTATCAACACGCCCAGTGAGAGTCGAACCGCGACAGTGCAGAATGAGAGCTTGGCACGTTAACCACTCGGCCACATTGCCGCGAGTGCCCTTGGATCACTGCCGCTCTACTCATATTATTGTGGGAAAATTCTTCTATAAGTCCTTCGTCACCTTAAACGAAATTGAGTGAATACATCTCATAAAGGAGTTAGAAGTAGAAAAAAAGTACCCACATAAATTAAAGTAATGATTTTAAAAGACTAAACTATGGTTAGATTAACAAGCAACGCGAACTTAAGGCGAGCATAAATAGAATCCAAATGTGAGATCGAAAAGAATTGTATCAGGAATGGTAAGGAGGTCAGAGCTCATGTCGTGGTAAAGAGCAGAAAACGAGACTATCCAAAAAACGAGTCTCTTCTGATATTACGAAAAAATATTAAATTATAAAAGGCCAATCAGACAGTGGGGATAAGGAAACAAGAATTAATAATGCGAGAGTAAAACCTTTTTAATCTGCTCAACGAATTAGCCCTAATGTGTACAAAAGAATGCAGGATGAAAGTCAGAGCGGGTCTCTTTGGTTAGTTCGATAAAAGACAAAATTATCGAGTCAAAAAAACAATAATGCTAGAGGCAATTTAACATTAACTAAGAATTATAAAGAAAAAGAAAACGATAAAATTGAATCTAAAGCATCTGGAATCCACTATAATACTTCATGAAGAAATAATGAATTGAAATATAGTATAAAGGCAATTGAGCTGTAAATTAAAATGTTGGTCAGGATAAAGTCACTGCTATTAGCTCAAGATTTTTTTACATAAAGTTGAAGTATAAAAACGAATGGTTGAGATAGAGATGGCAAGGCAAACGAAACTAGATAACAAGATGAGAATCAAGGCCAGGATGTGCCTGTTTTGGACATAAGTACATTAATGTTTACAATGGGATCATAAGAAGTATAAAGCAAGCAAGTCAATAAGGGCAAAAAGGCCTTCATGCCTGCTTATGGTTTAAAGGTTGATTAATAAAACTGTAAAGGTATATATCTGGTCAATGCATCTGCTGAAAGGACTGAAGAAACCCCACAGATGATTTAGCAGAAGGCATAATGTTTCTTGAAAGTTTAACCCAAACGCGAACCTGTTTCAAAAATATTTTGGAGAAAATGAGATCAATCGAATAGCGACATGAGGATAGGGATACAAAGGGAATAAAGAATGAAAATAAGATAGTAGTTGTTTAAGGTTAAGCGAAAAGGAAGTTAAAGGCTTTGAGGAACAGTAATATGTGGAGTGGAAAGGGAAGCAGGAGAGTCAGGGGGTAATGGAATTGGAGGCGCCCTAGTGGAGAAGCAACGAGTGGAGGGTTGGCCAAGGTGATCATCCTGTGCATATCGTGGCAGGCCCCTAGCAAGGCTATCATGAACGTGTTCTGGTACCAGCAGGCTCGTTTGTTGAAGAGGGAGCTGACATAACAAAGGGTCGCGCAGCCGACGAAGATCACTTTTGAGCTCCCCTAGCTGGTCGCATAACTCATTGTAGCGGTTCACGTCGAAATTGACCTTTTTGGCTCGGTGATAGAAGTGCTTCAGATATTCACGATCAAAGACTTGTGGGAAGCAATACTCCTAAAAGGAAAGATAAACAAAACGTATCAATACAAATCTAAGTAATGCAAATGATTGTGCTGGAAAGTAAAAGTTTTCTTCGCTAACAATAGCCATTATTTAATTTCTCATTTGCCCAGTGACGCAGGAGTACTCGTGGCACTGTAGCGAGGTGCTAGCGTGCAGGAATTATAAATTGGACTATCCGGATTCA